AATTGAATATTTGTTATATGCCAGGTACTGAGAAGAATCCACTTCTAACCCTTCTCTGCTCTCAGGGACTCATAGTAAGCTGGGGAAGAGTGGATGGTATATACCAGTGGTTATGTTCATGTAAAAACATTCAAACCTGTAAGGAACTTTTGTGAGTTTATTTGAGCCAAACTGTCCATAATTGCTGGGAAGCAGAATCTCAAAGGATTGAGATAATGCTCCCGAGAATGGCAGTTTTTCACCTTGTTTTATACATTACAATCAAAGGGAGACGTAGGTGGGTAGGTTAGGGAGGCGGGAGAAGGCAAAGTGGGGAAGCCTCTGGGATTGAATAAAAAGTAAAATGATAGACACATGCTTCTTTACTTAGGTGGGCACAAGACAGTTAACAGTCAACAATGAACATGATAACAATAACAGTGAAGGAATTGGTGGTATCTGTCCTGGTGTCCAGCACATTAGGTTGTGCCCCAAGGGGTCCGGGGGGAAAGGGGAAGTTACAAGTTAGCCTGACATTTCAAGGATATGTTATCTTAGATGCAAAAAGACAATAGACTCAGTTAAGGTAAAGACTGACCTTGTCAGGGAAGATATGGGCCTAGGATCTGACTACCCACTATAACAGCTTTTAGTTAAATTTTTAATTTCAGACCATCCTTTGTGGTTACTTTAGGTCTCTGAGTTTGCAAGGCCACCATGCAGGCCTTTCCCGAGCTTGTCATGTTAGCATGTGGCTCCTTTTTGTCCACACTCTCTATAGTTGTCCCGTGTGGTTTGCTATGCCTGTTACCCTTCCTGTTCTTCCTTCGCCATTCTAGACTCCTTACAAAATTATACTCTTGCCTTCCCTCCTTCTCCTCGATGTGATCCACTAATTCACACTCCTCACTCCTCAATCTGAACATCACTAGGGAAAACACATAATCAAGCTTTAGTTTATGACCACATATTTCGAATGGCTTTTCAGCATCAGTAGGAGGACTGCTGTGGTGGGCCTTGAAGCCTAGGGCGAGGGGCCAGGTGGAGCTGCTGTAGGTACAGATCTTGGTGAAGAATTTGCTCAACCCTGCAGATATAGCAGGCAGGCCTGACAGCAGCTGGATGGCTTGGCTTTTCTGCCCTGACAGGCACATAGAAACCTGTTAATGTAAAAACACTGAAACCTGTAAAGAATTTTTGTGAGTTTATTTGAGCCAAACTGTCTACAGTTGCCAGGAAGCAGTGTCTCAACAGATAGGGATAATGCTTTAGACCAGTGATGGCGAGCCTATGACACGCGTGTCAGAGGTGACACGCGAACTCATTTTTTTGGTTAGTTTTTCTTTGTTAAATGGCATTTAAATATATAAAATAAATATCAAAAATATAAGTCTTTGTTTTACTGTTACAGAAAAACCGGACTCGATTAAATACCCTATTGATTGTAATGCAAAATCCCATTTGTTATGTTCATACTGGTCTTAGAAAGCATGTGGCCTGCAGGCCGTAGTTTGAGGACCCCTGCTCTAGACTATGGAAGGTTTTCATCTATTTTATACATTGTAATCAAAAGAGGGGACTTAGGTGGGTTACATGAAATCCATAGAGAGGCGGGAGAAAGCAAAGAGGGAAAACCCCTGGGATTGGATAAAAAGTAAAATGATAGACCCCTACTTAGGTGGGTACAGGATAGTCCCACTATTCAAGCAGGCTAGAAAGCAAAGTTACTTTTTCAGAATAAGGGGCCATCCAAAGAATAGCAGAGAATTCTGAAAGGGCGAAGACTACGCCCTCCACCTTGCCCCAGGGTAAGGGCTATGCCCTCCATCTTACCTTGGTAGGCTCAGTTAAGGTAAAGACTGACCTTGTCAGTGAAAATACCGGCCTAGGATGTAACTACCCACCATACTTCTTTTAGTTAAAGTTTAATTTCAGACCATCCTTTGTGGTTACTTTTGAAGTATGAATGAAGTATGGTAGCAATCATCTCAGGTAGAAACTATAGTTTAAATTTAACCCTGCTGTTTGGCTTCTGTACTTATTTGCTTTGTTTAACAATAAAAAAGTTATTTTGATTTTCTGAATTATATAAATCATCCCATTCGATTAAATACCCTATTGATTGTAATGCAAAATCCCATTTGTTATGTTCATACTGGTCTTAGAAAGCATGTGGCCTGCAGGCCGTAATTTGAGGACCCCTGCTCTAGACTATGGAAGGGTTTCATCTATTTTATACATTATAATCAAAAGAGGGGACTTAGGTGGGTTACATGAAATCCATAGAGAGGCTGGGAAGGGTTTTAATTTTCTGAATTATATAAATTATCCCATTCAATTGAATACCCTATTGATTGTAATGTGAATATCCCATGGGTTGTAGTCATACTGGTCTTAGAAAGCACATTTTCCTTTACCTGGGAAGGACAGCACAATTATCCCAAGGTCAGAGGGCTCCAGTTAACGTTTCCCTGTTGACTCAGTGTTCTGGAGACCCAAAACTGTGATTTAGATAACATGCTGCTTCTGCTTCTGTAAACTGCTTTTTGCAAATCAGGTTCCTCATTCCAAACCTTGGGAATGTAATCAATACCTTTGTGATCTTTGCCTATATAAGTCTGGTTTTGCAAGCATCTTATTACTATGAGATTTGGGAGAGCAAGATGCCCCCTCATAGTCCCGGATTTGCAATAAATATGACTCCTTAATTCGTCTTCTTGAGGCATCCTTCTGTAATTGCGGGGTACATTACAACACTTTAGGTCTCTGAGTTTGTGAGACTGCCATGCAGGCCACCCCTGAGCTTATCTGGTTAGCATGTGGCCCCTTTCATCCACAGACTCAATCATGAAATTCCAGTGTTCGAGAAGACCCAAGAAAAACCAAGCAATGCTTTAAAGAAATGGAGGGACACTGTTTAATTATGCCAGCAGACTCAGGGAATAGCTTTCCAAACGAGTACTGAAGCATGCAGGGGGCTTCTTTTTATATCTCCCTGTGGTCTTTTGTCCCACAAATATGGATTATGCTTCCAGCCCTTCTCACGGGCCTTGCAAGAAGGCCCCCAAGTGTTGGGGGTCTCCAGGCCATACCTGATGGTTTGGATTGGTGCCAGTGTTAATAACCCTCCCTCCAGGGACAGTGAACTGTTCACAATTTTATGGCCTC